GATGTTAAGACTGAACCTCGATATGATAGACGAAAGGAGGGACGCAGCGGCTATAAGGCTAGCATCGTATCAGCAAGTGCTGGCGAATAGTCACAATAAGAGAGTAAAACACAGGGATTTTGCCCCGGGCGATCTGGTTCTGAAAAGAAAGGTGGGGATGGTCAAAAAAATGATGCCACCCTGGGAAGGCCCATACAGAATTGCAGAAGTCATTGGCAAAGGGGCATATACGTTGGAAACCATGGCGGGAAAGTTGGTCAGCAAGCCCTGGAACGCCACGTCTCTGAAGAGGTACTACCAATAGAAGCTAAGTTCTGGCTTTAATTGGATGTTATTTGTTGTCAATCAAATACGTATGAATGAGCAAGTTACTGGAATTTACAAAAAAAAAAAGAGAATTTTCTTTTCCAATGGTCTACTATAAAAATTTAAAGCCAAGTGGCAAGTGGCATTCTAGCCGAGCGCCAGGCACTTAAGCAAGATAAGTGGCAGCTGGCACTATAAGCCGAACGCCAGACACTTGCTAAAAATTTAAAGCCAAGTGGCAAGTGGCATTCTAGCCGAGCGCCAGGCACTTAAGCAAGATAAGTGGCAGCTGGCACTATAAGCCGAACGCCAGACACTTGCTAAAAATTTAAAGCCAAGTGGCAAGTGGCATTCTAGCCGAGCGCCAGGCACTTAAGCAAGATAAGTGGCAGCTGGCACTATAAGCCGAACGCCAGACACTTGCTAAAAATTTAAAGCCAAGTGGCAAGTGGCATTCTAGCCGAGCGCCAGGCACTTAAGCAAGATAAGTGGCAGCTGGCACTATAAGCCGAACGCCAGACACTTGCTAAAAATTTAAAGCCAAGTGGCAAGTGGCATTCTAGCCGAGCGCCAGGCACTTAAGCAAGATAAGTGGCAGCTGGCACTATAAGCCGAACGCCAGACACTTGCTAAAAATTTAAAGCCAAGTGGCAAGTGACATTCTAGCCGAGCGCCAGGCACTTGCCGTACAAACACACAGCGAAGCTAATATAAAAAGAAAAAGAGAGAAAAGATATGTATATACTGAAGATAAGTTGAACAGAGCACAACACATAGAGAAAAAGAGTTCGGCCATTTCATTAATATTGAACATTTAGTTTACAAAAGAGAGATGTCCATCATTACAAGAAGATATGAACTAGAAGAATTCGAAGGAGCCCTAGCTAGACGCCTCAGTACCAACAGCATCTTGGTCTTGCCGACTCGCCTCCTCGGCCCCATCAGCCGCCTCACCTTCATGAGGTGGGGAATCCAGGTGAATAACTGAGTCGTTCGGCTGGGGTTCAGCGTCAGCAGTGGCTACAGAGGGAGCCACGGTTGACGATTGGGGAGCGGTCAGTGGCAGAGCGGCAGGAGGAGCTGTGATGATCCTTGAGGATGCGATGTCCTGGCACTCATCAAATATACGTTCCGCTTCGGTAGGTTCTGGGTCGACATAGACCCCCAGAGGTTCGATCCCCAGATCCTTGTCTACCTCATCCGGAGTGGAGCTGGTCTGTCCCTCATCCGGAACCCGGTCGGCGAAACCTTCCCGGAATCCTTGAGCATACCGAAGAGCACCAACCCTGGAGAACCGAGCGTGAAGGGCCAGCATCCCACCACCCACTCTGCTGATAGCGTCGATCAGAGCGGTACGCTCGTCCAGAGCTCTTTTTTCAAAAGCCATCCGAGCAGACTGTTCATCAGCTAGAAGGCGTTGGAGTTCTGCCTTCTCTTCTCTGAGTGATTCCTGCTCAGTCTGCCAGACGCTCTTCTCAAGCTGGAGGGCGTCCTTCTCATCCTGAAGGGAATCATTCTCCTTTTTCAGGACATCTCTCTCTTGCTCGGCTTTGTCAAGCCGAACCAGCACCTCGGTATTCTTCATGGCAAGGAGGTCGTTTTCTTTATTAGCCACCTCCAGGCTGTCAGAATACTTTCGGGCCCTGGCGTTCCCCATCTCCACCTGCTTCTGCATGGCCATCATCCCGAACAATGTCTGCATAGGCGCACAATAAGAACGGTTAAACCAATAGTCAGAACGGGCGAAGGCAAGACCAAGTAATATAAGAGAATTCATGAGTTAGAAAATAAAAGTCACCTCCATAGCAGATTGGGGGAAGCGACTGAACACGTCCTTCTGGGAAAGGCCCTTTGCCGCCTCAATGTCCTTCGGAGTCCACATGCTCCTGTAGTAGGCCATAGCGGTCTGGCCATCCTTCAGCATGGTCTCGTTCGGTTTCACGAACGTCCCATCCGTTCGGGTGTACCGAGGGGCCCATGGCGGTAAGCTGGGGATAGAAGGGGGGCCTGAAGCAGAAGCAGAGCCACCAGCTGCAGGAGGCCCAGAGGGAGAAGGAGCTCTGATCGCTCGGTGCAAGAGAGTACCCGGCCCAGAGACTCGGGTCCTTCTAATAAGAGGCTCCTCCTCAGGATCGATTTCACTGTCAGGATGAGGCCTTTTGCCTCGCTCTTTGTCCCGACCGCCCCCCGCAGCAGCAGGAGCTATGGTAGCTGGGGAGGGCGCGTTCTGGTTGGCAGCAGGGGCGCTGGCAACAGGGTTAGTGGCCACTGCGCTCGGGACAGTGTCAGATATGGTGGCTGAAGAAGAAGCCGACGCTGGAGAGGAGGTCGCCCCAGCAGCAGGAGTGGCTGGGGGAGTATTTTTCCTCCTGCCAAAAGAGGGAATCTGCAGTCTGCTCATATTGTAGCCGAGTGATGAGAGCGCAAAGAGGTTGTCTGAAGTGAGAAGATCTGAGCAGGAAGGAATATCGTTCAGAACGTATCTCTTCAAGTAGTTACTCCTATCCCTGCAAACACTATAGCTCAAATCATCACAAGGTATTCCCAAGGAGCGGCATAAGTAAGTGCAAAAACGAGGAACGCATGTTTCACAGGGGCAGTCATGTTTATGGGATTTGAATTTTTTATAGGAGGAGACAGAGCAGACACCAAAGGCGCTCGGGATTGGGTAATCCTCTGCAGCCGGCGAAGACCAAGCCCCACTAATGCCCACTATGCTATCCCTCCAACCCTTTTCAGATTTTATTGTGTCAGTGCATATGGACATCTTCTCGAACGGGTAGAGGTGGTAGAAGGGCTCGTTAGTACGGATCTTACTGACCTTATAGCACAGAAGGAGGTCTATGAGGTCAAGGTCCAGATTTCTGTCACGCATCAATAAGAGCATAACAGATATGATCCTAAAGAAGTTGGGGTTGACCTGCAGAGGGGATATCCCCAATCTATTGAAGACATAACTAAAGAAAGGGTGCAGAGGGAACCTAACAACATTCAGTTGAAGGTTCGTGAATAAGACTTCGCCGGGCAGGAGGCCGGCGCCGGTCGTAATATTAACGTCTTGGGGGCAAACCCTAACTTCGATGTTGTCAGGAAGTCTAAGTCTCATACGAAGAACACCCAGATCTACAACCATGGTGGAAGTGCTAGAAGAATCTAAAAGAGGGAAAATGGAAGCCTGCCGAAAATAAAAAGAACGAAACTAACCTCGGAGGACTGCAAGATCGCTGGGAGAATGACTCTCGAAGGATTTCACCGGAAAAGGCTTAGCACAGTTCTAGAAAGAGGGAGATTTGGCTGATGATGAGGACGGTAAAGGGAAGTGAAGTGGAATTCTAGAGCACTATAAAGGCAAGGGGGCCCGAGGGCCGAAGCGTCGGGAAGGCAAGAAATCCCTCGAGCCCCGGAACATTGATTCTGGATCTGACCGTTCGCTCCCCACGTGGTTATCTCGAGCCGTCAGCGTCATGATGAGACGCCATCAATAATTACCCCTTATTAAATAAGGGGCAATTATGGGGGCAGTTGAGGAGGCCCCGGATGACATGGGCCAGGTCCGACTCGCAAAACACAACCTTCAGTCCGAACAGCTGGGTCAGCCCATAGAAAGACACTGCCATATGGGCCGAGCGGGAGTAAGCCCATCAAGGGTGACCAGGGCTTACAGAGGAATAGGCCCAGGTCCAGCAATTAGTAAATATCTTGTAAATATCTTGTAAATATCTTGTAAGTGTCTATAAATAGGAGTTGGAATGAAGAGGAGAGGGATCTTTCCGGGTTGAGGTGTAAGAATTCTAGAGAGAGAAAGAATAGAAGGAGTTTCTTGCATCTTCAATTTTGTATAAGTAATAAAATTTTATTGATACTTTGTTATTGTTTTCCCAAAAGAGAGATGAAGGGCAATTTAGTAATCAAGACATACCTTTATAAAATTTCATCATATTGGAAAAGTTAACTTTGACTCCATCATTTTGGCACAAGGCATCTATAATTTCATTTTTTAGGAATTATCCCTTATATAATTATACACACCTTCTTAAAATAACAATTAATAATTGAAAGAAAATATATATATATATAAGTACAAAAATCTAAATAAATAAATATTTAGTCAAACACTATCAAAAACAACTTCCAAACCTAAAAGGCTAAAAACAGTGTTTAAAAAGCCAATCCAAACAGGGCCTTAGTCTCAGACTTCTTACTAATTTCTTTATTCCTAACACCCACATTTTTTCCTTCCCGAACTTGCAACGAATTGTAACACCCTTGTTGTGGTTGGGCCATCCTGTTTACCCAGGGTGGCACACCTGTGCTCTTTCGAACCGAACGCTTAACATGGGATCGGAAGCTTGGCATGACATCGGATTAAGGATTGGGTCTAACTTTGATATTAACTGTAACGGGCTGAGTGTTTTGTAATCTGACCCAAAAGTTTAAATTACTAGGTGAGGCTAACACTCAACCCATATATACCCATTTCACTTCCCATACTGATTCGTTGTGAGACAAAACTCTCCTTGTAAAACTTAGTTGGCAGAGCGTTTAGCTCTCTGAGTGGATGTACCCGTATTTGAATTAACTAATTAAAAATTAAAATAAAAAAAGACCCAATATGTTGTCAAATAGTGGAAATGTTTGGGCCGAATGGTAAATAACATATACTACGTAATCATATGACTTACGTGGCACATATTGCTCAGACTCCGTCACCGAATGAACTCGTGAAAAGTTGCAGCGGAGAAGATCTTCGCCCCAAAACTCAATTTCAAACTCACTCTCTCTCACTTTTGAAGATCAATCCAATCAGCAATTGTTGCACTTTCAGCTACCAAGAACCCTAGTTGTTTCTGTGCTCATCTTCGTTTTCGTCTCTCGGGTACTCCATCTCTATACTTGTATGTATATGATAAATTTGATAATAATGAAATCCATTTCACTGCTTATAATGGTTCAAAATTTTGTTATCAAAGTGTATTGAATGTAATTAATTATTGGAACGATTAGATTAGCCCATATTCTTTCGGATTAGCTGTGTTGAACTCATAAAATTGACCTATCTGCATATGTATTTAATTGGTAAAGGATCATCGGCTTATGCGCAATTTTTTTTTCTGTTTTCCCTTCCCTGTTTGTGATTCTATCTTATGCACAAATTTATAGAATGCTACTATTGTGCATACATGCACAATATATATCTTGATACATGCATGCATAAATGTATCTACATACATACATACATACATACATATATATATGTATATATATATAAAATTAATGTTTCTTTACTGAAATTGAAGGTCCATGGATGGTAGTGCTGTTGGTAATAGGACTACTCCAGCTGAAGATGATGAGATCAGCCCTTGTAATATGCAAATCTTGGAATTTGATATAGAAGTTCCTTCTCTTGATAATGGACAATCCAGTGACTTTTTAGAAGAGCAACTGAACTCAGTTGAGGTACCTGAACTTGGCATGGAGTTTGATTCTGATGATCAAGCATACGATTTTTATTGTAGATATGCTAGACTGAATGGGTTTGCTGTTAACAATGGTAAGGTAAATGGGGATATGGGACAAAGGAGGTTTACTTGTTCTAAAGGAGGTTTTATGCAAAAAGATGATAGAGATATTAATGGGAAGAAGCATCAAAATGAAACTAGAACCAGTTGCTTGGCGCAAATGATCATTTCTCGTCAAGCCAATGGGAAGTATATTATTGCACAGTTCGAAGCTAACCATAATCATGAGGTTGAAATCTTAAATAGGGCTAGTAGTTTACCGCCGCAGAGGAGTTCACCTGTTTCTCAAGAAGCTAAGAATACTTTTGTGAAACAACAGAGATCTGACTTTGAGTGTGTTGGAGGACAAGTTGAAGGTCATGAGGATTGTAGTTATATTCCTATAGATTGTAAAAGTTACTTACATTCCAGAAGGATGACAGAAATGAATGAAGTAGAGGCAAATTGTTTGTTGGATTATCTTCACAGGCGGCAATTAGAAGATCCATCTTTCTATTATGCAGTACAATTTGACATCAACAATCACTTAACCAACATATTTTGGGCTGACACCCAAATGATGGTGGACTACGTCCACTTTGGTGATGTGATTTTCTTTGATACAACTTACAGAACAAGCAAAAATAGTCAGCCATTTGCACCATTTGTTGGTGTGAATCATCATATTCAGACAGTGTTCTTTGGTGCTGCACTTTTGTATGATGAAACATTGGAATCTTTTGAGTGGCTATTTCGAACTTTTGTGGCTGCAATGTCTGGACAAAAGCCAAAGATTATTCTCACAGATGAAGATGCAACCATTGATAAAGCAGTTAAATCGGTGTTACCAGAAACATGTCATCAAATATGTGTTTGGCAGATTTACCAGAATGCTCTTATATACCTTAGCCATGCATTTAATGGTCCAGGCTCTTTTGCCAAAGATTTCAGTAGTTGCATCTATGATTATGAAGATGAGGAAGACTTCATTCATGCATGGAAGGAAATGTTGACCATGTACAATCTTCAACAAAATGAATGGTTGATGAAGATATATAAGGAAAGGTCGAGATGGGCTACTGCCTGTGCAAGTCATGTGTTTTATGCTGACGTGGAAGGCACACGACTAAGTGAAGGTTTCAGGAGAAGCTTCAAAGATTACATGATGCCTAACCTCAACATGTTGCAATTTTTGGGGCACTTTGAAAGGGCAGTGGCTGACCAGCGTTGGAAAGAATTGGAGGCAAGCTATGACATTTTTGAGCAGTTGCCAATGTTGATGGGAAATGTGATTATGCTGAAGCATGTGAGGGATGTTTATACACCAAAAGTTTTTGAAGTCTTTCAGCGAGAATATGAGAAGTGTCTGAATCTCATTGTTAACCAATGTAATTCAAGCACATCATTATTTGAGTACAAGGTAAGCATATATGGGCAATCTCGAGCATGCACGGTAAAATTTAATTCATCAAATGATACAGTTGTTTGTAACTGTATGAAGTTTGAGTTTGATGGAATTTTGTGTAGTCATGCTATAAAAGTGCTAGACCAAAGGAATATTAAAGTGGTTCCAACTCAATACATATTGAAGAGGTGGACAAAAGATGCAAGGGTTGGAAGTTTAACAGACAATTATAGATGCATCGTACAAGAGGACCAAATGCTGTCTGCAGCAAACCTTTTCAAAATGTTATGCTGTAAGGCAGCTAGAATAGCAACTATGGCTTCTGAATCCGAAGAAGCTTATCAACATGTCAAAGGACGGTTTGATTATATGATGCAAGTGCTAGAAAACATCTCCAAGATAAAGCCATATAAGAGTACTCAGGTACTAAGATGATATTTCATTTTGGCATTCTGTGGCATCTGTGATAATTGATTGGATGATCTGTTTTTACGATTATATTGTATATACTTCTGTTTGGTGTTAGTTCTAGTTCAAAACATGTTGGTATTGGTTTTTAACTGTAGTCACATGTTTAACATTATATACTTACGAGTCTTAAGAAACCTATTTAATTGTTTGCATTTTTGCAAATTTTACTTATATTTCCAATTATCTGTAGATGTGTGGGTGTGTATTGGTTAGATTTTCCATCAAGTAATTATTAGTTTTGCTTCACAAAATTGTCTGATTGGAATTTCTGGCTGTTCTGTGATTCCAATTCCAATGTGAAAGATTTCAGCCAAAAATATTGTGCCAAATGGCGTATTCTTGCTAACTCACAATGTTCCTCCTTCCTATTTGCTATTCCAATTTGATGTGTTTGCTAACACTTCATTTAGGTACAGTGAATTAAACAGTACTGTATTATGTACAATAACTATGACAGTGTGACTCTATTATAAACTAGTAATATCTAATAGTTCCTCTTCATTTCATCATATTACTTGATCACAATCTTTAATATTGTATGCTTAAACAGCCTGCAGACGACTCTGGACTTGTTGATGAGAGAGAAGAACTGTCTCTTGGAGATGAAAATGATTCAGCTAGAAATTCTTCAATGGCCACATACAATCTTAACATCTCAAGCAACCTTGTAAATTCGGCTGAACTTTTGATGCTGCACAATGATGACATAATGAGAAAAACTCCTGAAAGGAGTTCTGGGCTGGAGACCATCTCCACCAGGAAGATGTGCACAGCATGCAAGTCCACAGTGTCCTCAACATGGCGATATGGCCCGAAGGGCCCAAGGGTAAATTTCTTGTATATAATAAAGATTGTTAGTACCATATATTTTGGTGCAGGACCTTTCATATACTATATATGTGATTAGTTCTAACTTCATATTGTGTGGTAGAACAGTTGATAAATGACTTATGTATTAAATAGTTACAGCCTTCTTATACCTTGATTGAGAAATTACATATTCGCTTGAGCTAGCTTGAGGAATATGACTTAGAGCTGAAAAGTTGGAAAAATGAGATCAAACCAAACTTAACCTTGAACATATACTTCTTAATGCTTGATTTTCATTTTTATCAAAGAGATCCTTAGATTGATTCTTTGGGGTTGTCAACGTGATCATTGAGGTACATTTATTGGAGACTTTGTCATTGTTTTGAATGGGCCCTCCAGGTGCAGTTATTACTTCCATCATTAATGTTTTCTTTTTTGGGTTTTCAGCTTTGTGGTGTTTACTTTACTCATGTGCAACATCATGTAAACAAAGTGGTTCACTGGCTCATGATTTAAAGTGACACTCAACCTATAATTGGGCAGTGTTTCTTCCAACAGAACTTCCAGAACATATGTTATAAGCTCATACCATGTTGTCTTTGATTGAATGACTGTGATTTTTTTACAGAGATGAACTCTATCTCAAAGAGAAAAGAGAAAGAGCACTAAAGAAACTCAGAAATAAGCTGGAGCTTAAATTTCACACGTGTTGCCAACTACAAGAAAGAGGAAGAAGTAAAACAAAAAATTGAAAATACTAAGCACCACATGAAAGTAATTAGAAAAGAAGAACCGAAAGCTATGGTGGCATGAACTCTCCACAATTGCTTTCCCAAATCACTGCACCCAATTTCCTAAGAATTTTTTAGAAGATAATGATTTTGCTATTTTTCAATGGTTTGTAACTGGCTTCTAACATGGTGATTCTATATTTTGCCTTTAATTTCAGACCCTTTGCAATGCTTGCGGACTCCGATACAAGAAGGAACATATGAAGCTACGGGAAACTGCACTACCCCTTTCAAAACCCAGTTGTGATCTAGCAAAAAGAAGAAAATCCTCTACAAAAGAGTTCTAAATCATTCCTGTATATTCAAATGACACTTTTTCCTTTTAAACTGCTTTTCTAATGACTTTATAAAATTTGCTCTCTCTCTCTGATTTTTGTTAATCTAAGAAGGTGAGGTGCTTTGACGATCAACTTTTATATTCTGCAATCAGTGTCACTGGCATATTCATAACATTCAATCACACAGTTATATTTAATCTAAATACTGAACTATGTTTCTTTCATTGTTTTTTTATTTCTCGAAATATGTTAGACTGTAATATGGGGGACGATTGCATTCATTTGTTACTATGCTCTTCTTTATCTTAAAATGTGGCCAATTGGTCAGGTAGAAACTATTATGGGAAGATGTATCCCAACTGCAAGGGCTTTCTGGTTATTTCAGTTGAGGGAGACAGACAAACAGATGCTTTTGTGGCTCTTGCAAAAGGGTTTTTTCATCATAATTACTAAATCAAGTGTGAATTGTGGAAACCGAGGGACCTGAAACAAGGGGAAGTTCGCAAGAAGGAAACCACTAAATCGTGTTAGGGAACTGAACTAGGAAGTGGATAGCAATATTTAGAAATAATTTGCAGGTGTGGTTCCCTGTGGATGACGAAGTATGTACAGGTAAGGTGATGGTCTTACGTGCATTCTGCTAATGTGGAAACCAAGACAGTCTTACGAGGGATAGAATGGTCGTAATGGAAAAGATCAGGGAATCCCAACTTGGATCTCAAGATGAACGCTAGCGGCATGCTTAATACATGCAAGTCGATTTCCTTTGGCTTTTTATTATAGTGTCACTCAATGAGGTGTGTTTTTATCATATTCTGAAAGGGTCACACATGGATTTACGTAAAACATGGAGATATGGTGTATGTGTAGTAGGAAAGGGAAAGTATGAGTCATTTAGAAGCTTGACAAAACAGTGTCTATTACTTCATCTCTTTTAATGAGGAAAGGTTTATAAGAGCCTAATAGCTTTTTTTATGTGTGCGCCTGTGTGAAGACTGATCATTGAGTTTAAATCTTTTCCAACTTGAAGCCTAATTAGTCTACAAATCTTAAAATATTATATTATTGTTAATATGAGAAATATTTGAAGTGCGTTTTTATATTTTTGTGAGAGCTAATATTTAATAGTTGTGGCAGTACAATTTTAGGAAGAATGTATGCTTCTGCTTATTATGCTTTTGATACCCTAAACAGTTGCACTACTTCTTCTTCTTCTTCTCCTTTTTTTTTTTATATATTTTTTTTCATTTTCAGTTGGGTAACGATTCCACCTTTGTTGATAGAGTTTTGTGTATCATAATTGTGATTTTTGCAGAATAAATGTTGATTTTATTCATTATAATGTTTGTGAGACAGCTATAGGGCTGGAAACAGAGAGTTCTATTACTGGAAGAGAACAAAGACTCATAAAGCTGCAATTATTCCTTTTCTATTTATACGTGAAATGCCATAAAAATATTTCTCTGCATAATATTGATAAATGACAATGTGTTCTCATGTTGGCTTCCTGTTCCTCAGGTCAATAGATGGTGGAATCGGCATAAAGGCCTAAAGGACAGATTGCTGCTGGATAACACACTACCAAGTTGAAACATCGAGGTGCAAGAACTACATGTAGGTTGAACAGGTACAAACCCATGTGCTCTGTGTCCCTCTTTAGGTAAAAGACAAAGAATTAACTATAAGGGTGGTAGTCTATGTTGTAATGATAAATGCAATGGGGTGCTTCAGATTGAGCTAATTTAAAAGCTCAGTAATGTGTTGGTAAGGAAGTGCTTTTGGAGATCTGGTTAGGAGACTGATCAGATTTATGCTCCCTTTGCCATGAAGGATGGAAATATTTAAAGGAGAGAAAAAATGTTGGTTGTAAGAAGTATATTTAGGAAAGGAAGAATTGCTTCCCGTTGTTTGGTTGAGTAGGATTGTAGGAAGGAAATGAGGAAAAAAGGAAAAGGCTATCGAGTAATTTGACTATTATACCTTGGAAGAGTAAAAAATTCAAGTCTTCAGTGGCAAAATAATCGTAAGAGGAGGAAAGATGTTTCCCTGCTCTTTTCTGCCACCTTTGGACAATTGCCCAATGGTGAGAAGAAGAGGAAAGATGCTTCCCTCCTCTTTTCCGCCATTTCTGGACATGCCCAACGGTGGGCTTAAAGGGAGAGCTCCTCTTTCGTCCCTCCTATTCCCTTTTCCTCTCCTCTCTACCAGACGGGAACCTCTTCTCTGCTTCCCCTTTCTCCCATCCCTTTTCCCTGCATTCTTCTCACCTACTGTTAGAGAATGTTGCTCAACTCCAAAATACGAGGAAAGAATGGTGGTTGTGGAACTTGTCATGGATCTTCCACCTATAGGTGTGGAATTTGTGGGCCATCCTCAAGTCAGGAGACTCCTGGGGAGAAACGACTAAATTTGAGGTGAGGAAAGGGATCCTGTGATGGTTTTCCTTTTCTGAAATATCTGAACTCTTCATCCTAGGTAGTGAAAAGAATGCAAAGGTAATTTATTAATTGAACAGGAGGAAAAGCGGAGCAGTTTTAGCCCTCCTCTTTTGGGGGAACTTCTAATGTTGATAGGTGACGTTGGTGGATTTTTTAAATGTCTTCAGAAATACAGGATGTGGAGTAGTCGGGGGTAATAGTGTATTTTTTGACAAGGAATTGGTGTATGAAACATCTTCCTCCATTACAATAGAACTCTTCAAAATTTTAGCTCTTGTTTTTGTAATCAGAGGTTTTCTTCTTGTAATCTTATTATTGTTTTTCAAAAAAATTTAGGATCCTTGGTTGGCATTCTTTGCTATAATATTTGTCATTTGATTGTCTGGCCATATTTTCTTCGGTTTCTCGACTCCAAATCATGATAAGGGAAAACTTTAGTTATGAAACCTCTACTATTGGTTTCTTTTATGAAGTTGAATTTTTTCTTGGAAAAACAACAATCTGTTACAAGAGCATAAAAAAGTAACAAACTCTAGTGTTACGGGTGTTCTCTTCATGTTGAACACACATTTGTAAGTGAGGAACAAAATTTCATTAACAGGTTAATGATGGTAGAAAATGAGGGATACCCTCATAATACATGTCTAAAAAAACCATTTCCACTACAAATTAAAGTCACAAAAAAACAACAGAAAGAAACCATGAAAGCTTTTGACTACAAGTCAAAACACAATTCCTACCAAAAAGACAAAAAAATCATGAAAGTTTTTTTACTACAAGTCAAAACACAATTCCTACCAACTGTATCTATTTTGTTGAAGTGATATCTATTTTGTTTGTGTTAATAGAGTTCCTACCAATTGTATTAGGTCCGGGGAATGAAGGTTTCATAGTCCAGCACAGGAAAAAGGGCAAAAATGTGGCATGGAAGGATTGAATGAGATGCTCGTTGGAGTGGAATGAAGATGGAAACGGGTAGCGCCCGCAACACAAAAAACCCCACGGGACCGGGACCGGGACATCCGCTTTCCGACACCAAAAAGCATATTGGTATGACACGCGGCCTGATTAATAGGCGCAATGACTCTCTTGTGACTAGCACCTCTATAAATAGAGCACGCGATTGATCATCAAGGGCCCAGCCATCTAGGACTTCAAAGTTGAAGTCAACATGCGTCCGAGAAATCTAACAAACATAAATTGCAATAAGCTCATCCTTGCAACTGCAAAACAAAATAAAAAACATAAAAAAGAAGAGTTTGGGACAAAGAAAATTATAATTAGGTGTTACTCATCAGTAGCAATGAAAGCCAAAATCTAAAAAATGGTATAGTTGCAACTTCCACATCTTGAGAAAAAAAAAAAAAAAACACTACGGCTGTTATTTTCCCCAAGGAGTTTGATGAACTTCTGCACTTCCAATGATATTGGATTTCCAAGGAAAATATATTTTATTAGGTTTCAAATCAAGTTGAGGAGGATTGTGATTGATAACTCTGTCAAACTTTTTTTAGAATCATTTCATACAAATTTAAGAAATGTTTTTTAATATTAAATTAAAGAATTATCATAAAATAACACTCCTAATGTTTCAGGTGTGCCTATCTAGAGATGACCACGAGTTGGGGAATGACCGACTGATACATACAAAGTTAGACATCGGCTGATCAGAAAGAATTCAAAGATAGGCACGTCTGAACTGTTTTGGTTATTCACTTGGACCGATTTTGTTGATAAAATAAACATTACGAGTAATGTACCTATTTAATTTCCGACGCTACTCAATCCAAAGAACTCTTTAATACAATTGAAGGAAAAATAATAAGAACCATTAATTAGTGTTAATACCAAGCTCTTGCAAGATGTACTTTTAGAAACCGTAATAACTTTAGTGCATAGAAGATCTTTGTTTGTAAGCAACACAAACAATTTCGGAGATGGTGGACTTGCACTCCATCACCGAGATGAATTCAAATAATTTGTCATTGGAAGAAAATAAGATGTTATCATACGATCCAACAATATAAAATATTCTTGCAAGAAAAAAATGCAAGAGAAAAAGATAAAGAGTTACCTGAAGACTAAGACGACATCTCCGTATCCCTTGAACAGAGATCAAAACCCAATCCAAACTCCAAAAGATACAGAACTGGTCTTGCAAAGATCCTAGCAAAATATTTCACTATTTTGTGTTATTTTACTAACAAAAAGAAAGAGAATTGAATGGATGAGGAACGTTGCTGGCGAAAAGAGAGAGAGAGAGAGAGAGAGGGAGAGAGTTGTGTCGCATGAGGAACGGCCGACCTTATATTCTCATATGGGCTTAAACTTTTTTAACTGGAGAATGGTAATACAAATGAGCCTTCAAGTTAACGAGTTTGTTCACGAGCCTAATGAGCCGAGTTCAATGTAACTCAAGCTCGTCTCATTTATTAAACGAGCTTAAAAATTGAGCTCGAGTTCGGCTCGTTTACTAAATGAACGAGACCGAGTTAAACTTTTAACGAGTTGAGCCCGAACTGTTCATGAACAATTCGATTCATTTGCAGCCTTACAACTAACTAAATTTTGCCAATAAATATAAATATAGATGTAAATGTGTTAATATAGATAAAAAGCAAATGTAATACAATGGTACAAGATCCGTTATGTGTTTTTTTTCCCTACAAGATCAGTTATGTTACTAACGTATAAAGCCAACGGACCAGGGTCTAATCTTATCTAAAATTAAAGTGAGAAGAAGAAGTGTGAAAATATGTAATGTCTCAACAAAAATAACTTGTTGAAAATTGATGGGCAAGTTATTTCTTTTAGGTTTTATTATTTTTTCTTTGTATGACAACCAGGGCCGGCCCTGAGATTCCAAATATTTTGAGCGGCCGTAGGCAAACTTTCAAATGTGAGGTCCTTAAGTTTCACACGCACAAAAAGAAATATAAGAGTGCAAAATTTTCACAAGAAGTTTTCAAATTCTATAGCTAATATAATTGTGTGCCTATGCATTGTGCATAAGACAACTAATTAATAACTATAAATTTATCACCACCAACAATAACTATAAATCTATTACCGCCAATAAATAATTGTGCATCTATGCAGTGTGCTTAAGACAACTAACTAATAACTATAAATTTTTATCACCACCAATAAATAATTGTGTGCCTTTGCAGTTTGCATATGACAACTAACTAATAACTATAAATCTATCACCACCAATAAATAATTGTGCACTAACTAGCTAACTAATAACAATAAATCTATCAATTAAAGAACTAATAACAATAAATCTATCAATTAAAGAGGGCGAAATTTTCACGGGCACAAAAAAATTTATAAGATTGTGGAATTTTCATTAATATGAGATGATAAGAACATAAAATATATTAATGTTGAAAACACGCAAATGAAAACGGTCTTGGTGCTTTAAAAAAAAGCACGATCCAGTTTACATCGAAAAATTAAAAGGAAATATTCAACACAACTTAGTCACAAAAATTAAAATTCAACTTTATATCAAACAAACCAAATAGCTAAATTAAATTATTTTTTAAAAAAAAATAAAAATTGAAGAGAACAGTTTACTAGTTTAAACATGGAATGAAATTCGAAATCATAAAAGTTCTAAAAATTCAAACCTCAATGAGGTTGCATGTGGTCAGCCACCAGGGTATACCAAGAACTTTATACCCTTTTTCTTGCTTTCCATACAAAAAGCTGGCTACTGATTCAAAAAAGGGACATTCTTGAACATTACAAGCAACAGAGACACTTATTATTATTTTTTAAAATTTATATTTTCATTTTTTAGACACTGATTATTCTCCATGCAAATTTTTTTTTTTTTAATAAAAAAAATCGAAATCTGAATCGATTTATGATACAATTAACATAAAAAGGATGGAGAATCAAACAGAAACAATAATAACTAAGCATTGCCGATCATACACTAAATATAATATAAAATAAAATCTAAAATCAAACAGTTTGATCGAATCAAACGAACCAAAGTTAGAACAAATCAAATGATGAGATGAACGAAAGAAAGAAACATATATAAAAGATCGATTCATGAAAAAGGAGAGAGAAGAGAGAGAGAGAGGATGAACATACCTTGTTACCTGCGCCTGAGGCGATAGCGGAGGCTGCGGAGTGTCGAAGCAGATTGTGTCGTCTGAAAATCTTGCCCCTAACTTAATTTTTTTGTTTTTTTGTTTTTTTTTTTTAGTTTTTCCATCCCCTATGGGCCTCAAAATTTGAAGCCCTCTAAAATTTGAGGCCCAAGGCGACCAAGATTTGCCCTAACTTAAATTTTTTATTTTTTTTCCCATCCCCTATGGGCCTCAAACCAAGGCGACCGTCTTGGTCGACTTGGGCCGGGGCCGGCCCTGATGACAACCAAACACTATATATATATATATATATATATATATATATATATATATTATTTTGACCATTTAAAAAATGAGATTATTATTTTTTATCTAATATTGTAAGTAAGTTAAGAATTCTAAGTTTTCATAAATCAGTACTTCACTCTTTCTTTTTTCTTTTTATAAAAAAAATACTTTAATACTCCTGATATATTAAGATATGACTCACTCAACTAAATACATTTTTACAAAATCACTTATGCACGAAAGTATTTTTTTTTAATGTCTTTCATAAAATGAAATCAACACATAATATCATGCATCAATTCCATCAAATGTGCAATATAACAAGGGTGTGTGCTTTACTTGAGAGAAGGGAAGGAAAAAATAAAAAGTCCACCAACAGTATCCACCATGAATGGGCCAAGCCGGACCCGTAATTTGGATCCATCATAAGGGTAAAAATGCCATTTCCAAAGGTGCCAAACAGCTTCAACAGTCCCACCTGTTCTCTGTTTCGGCATTTCCAACGCTCCGAGTAGTGAAGAACCAACTTCGATTTCATCGAAACAACACCACACACATTTGCATATTTTGTATTCCGTAATATATAAGAATGTATATATATATACATACAACTCTCTTTCTCTCTCTCACTTCTGTTCTGTCCTAACCCTTCTCTTGAAAAAACCTCGCAGATAGTCCCGAGGAAAGCCGAGCCTCGGCGAAGAGTTTCAACTCGCTCAACTTTCAGGCACCACAAAGGTGAGCTTTAGATTCAACTATATACATTTTCATATGTGTATATGTATAATTATATGTGTAGAGATAAATGTTTGTAATCATATAAAAGATCAGCTTATAATTTTTGCATTTGGTGAATATACGGCTTATATTTGGTGCATTAATTTTAGGAATCAAAGTTGTGTATCATTGGAGTACTGCTTCTGATTTTACAAAAATAATAATAATAATCATTTTGATAGATTTTAGAGGGAGTGGATTGCATTTAGTAGAGAATTTGTGTCTCTTCATTGTTTATATTTCAAATTTATTACCATACATATTTATGCATTGATATATTCACTGCTAGTATGCTACAACTCAGTCTGAACTCAATATTCCTCAATAATTTCCATATTTGTTGTGAATTTGCTGTGTTTTCAATGTTGGCTCTGTGGTTAAATATCAGAAATTTGCTGAAGCTCTCAAACTTGAGCTTTGACTATGTAAAATTATTATTTTGTAACTTAATTTGTGGAACTAAATATATTGATTGTCAAGAAGTTACTTCAATTTTATGGGGAAACTATGACTGGTAAATGCAGAAAATGATTTCTTTAGATAACTTGCTGCTAAAATGATTTCTGGTAAATGCATATATATATATATATATATATATATATTGCCAAGGTATTTCAATTTTATTATTAATCTTAAGTTGAACTAAAACCTGCTTCTTCAGAGTTTCTTTTTATTAATGGTCTTCTTGTTCACATAGCTAGATATCTTTTCAATAGTCTGTAGATGTCTTTTACACATCTAATACTATGTAACAGATCAAATATCATCGTGTGGTATGCAAATTTTGCTAGTACGTGTCGTCATTTTGAAACCAAATATGACATTCTAGTCATAGGTTCATTACTGTTGTGTGTTTCAAAACACTTTATATCAAACAAAACCATTTCTGGGGTTCGAAATTGGAAAAGGAAGCGACTCTGAACTTTGTTTGCCATTCTTTTATTTTTTAAATATTCACTGTATAGAGAAAGGAGAAGAAACGTTCTTAAAATAACAGTGAAATTTCTTTATATTCAATAAATTATTTAATAGATGTTATTTTGCCAATGTTTGTTTATGTTCAAATGTTGGACCTGTATCTCCTCAATTATCTGGGGCCTCACTGGGTGATGACTCTTTTTTATTGTACCAGATTATAGGTGGTTGTTTTTTGTTGTTTTTTAGATCGGTAATATTAGACTTATATGGTGGAATGAATTTATCTTTCTGTGTCTGCAATTGTCTATTGATGAAGCATAAGCATGTTCACTGGCAAATTCTGGTGCTAAAGCTGCTGGCCTTTGAAAACCACTGTGAAGGAGACAACTTTTGTGGTTACTTTGATCCTCTGAGACAGGAGTGCTGCTCATAATCAGGCGGTCAACGCTGTAATTGTAGACCAGGGTATATATTACGTTGTGGCCCTTGAGTAAAGTCCCTATGCTAGCTAATATTGCTGCCTATAATTTGGCCCAATGTGCATACACCTGTGATGTTTCATGGTAAATCCATTTTGCGTCCCAGATCACCCTTGTAAACACACACACACACACACACACACACACACATAGAGAGAGAGAGGGAGAAGCAGGTTTCATCTTCATTTAGGGATTAATTAACACTTTGGGAGATCTTAGAGAGGAAATTTGGTGTATTTCTTGTCAAATTATGTTTAGTAGAATGTTTGAATCATGGGATGTTCAAAAATATTAATCTTATTGTAAATTGTTCTACTATGAATCTTACTTGATGATTTTTTTTTTTCCTTTCCCAATCTAATATATATATATATATATGTATGTATGTATGTATTATCCTTTTCAATTAAATTCTTTAAGAATTTTCCCTCTTTTTTTTTTTTTTTTTCCCCCCCTTAATTTCCCTTGCAGATTCTATTATTCTTATTTGGTAAAAGTTAACGTACTGGAAAATGGCAGCAACTGCAACTCCTGCCATGCACATAACAACAAATCCCTGCATTTATTCTTCTCGTGAAGTTTATAAGTCAGGCAATGCAATTTTTAGTACCAATAGTAAAAAGGCATCTTGGATGAGGCTTGCAAGCACTTCTCGCATATCATCAACGCAGCCATTTTTCCAGAGTTTCATGTCCACTGCTGTAAAACTTGAAAAAGTTGTTACAAAAGCATTATCTGAATCAAGTGACAGCAAACCTGTCTCCGGATTGCCAATTGATTTGAGAGGTCAAATAACTTCTTTTATTCTTTTTCAATAAATGTTGATGTTATAATATATTTCTTTTCGAAAGGTCTTGGGTTGTGTTATGATTGTAACTTAGCCCCTTTTGTTTCTTTATTCTCAGTAGCATCCTAATAATTACTCTTCCTTGATTACTTCTTTCTTTATGGCAGTCCACAATTACTGTGGGAAAATGCTACTTTTGCAGCCATGCTTGATTTTGATATCTAGAACCTTAATTTTTATGCTCAAAACTGTGATTCATCTATCAGTTTCAATTTTGTTGGTGCTAATAAGTCATTCTCCTATCCTTGGAGTTTTGCTATTCATCTCAACTGATAAGCATTGGTCAAGAATCATTAATTATTGAAGGTTAGAATTATGTATAGTTCGTAACTAGTTGCACCCAACATCAATGTGAGCAAAATGTCCTTTACACCATGAAGTGTCAAATAAATGGCAACTAACTGACAGGTGATAAGATGGTAAAAAATAATGGAAGAACGATATGTGAATTGAACATACAGGTAAAGAACTCCTATATCTGTCAGGTTTTTATTGTCTTATTGTAGTTATCAGACATATATATATGTGTAAAAAAGAAAGAAAAATAAAAAGGAAAAGGCTTATAAGTGCTGGATGCCACAGCTGTTGCAACATCTTTCCTCCCTACGACCAAAGAAACAGATAATGAGAGGACAAATGAGGATCTAGGGCAAGAAATTTGGAATAGTTATACAACTTCATTGTAAATAAGACATTTTCAATTCATATAAAACCTCTACTAAAGTTTGACTTATAAAAAAAAAAATTAAATAAGAAATAAAAACTAAATTTTGATTCTCATCTTTAACAATAGGAAGAGCGAGTGATGAATTCTTGACAACTATGGACTTTGTTGACATTAGGAACGCTATTTGCAGGTAAAAGGGCATTTATTGCTGGTATAGCTGATGATAATGGATATGGATGGGCGATAGCAAAATCTCTTGCTGCTGCAGGTGCTGAGATTCTCGTTGGTACATGGGTGCCTGTATGTGAATTGGTCTAACTGTTTTACTGCTCCTGTAATTTCAAAAATCTCAAATTCTGAAAAGATCATGCTCGGTTCCTAATAAGTTTGTATGTTAGGCACTGAACATTTTTGAGACCAGTTTACGACGTGGGAAATTTGATGAATCACGCATGTAAGCATGGCTTTGGTGTTTACTCATTATTATCACGTTTGATGTTTCCTAACCGTCTTTATATATTGGAACTTAATGTTTCAGGTTGCCAGATGGTTCTTTGATGGAGATTACAAAAGTGTATCCACTGGATGCAGTTTATGACTGTCCTGAGGATGTACCTGAAGATGTGAGTAGAAAATTTACTACATGGTTCTGGAATAGACATTAAGAAGTAAAATGTATCCTTGGTAAAATCAATTTATGTAATCTGGTGCAGGTAAAAACAAACAAACGCTATTCAGGGTCATCAAATTGGACTGTTCAGGTATCAGTTTTTTTTTATTTTTAATTTTCCTCCAAAACTTTCATCCTTTTGCTGCAGAGTGAAAATGAATATTGTTCAACAAAATGTTGCATTTTTGTGAAATAAAGAAATTAATAAAAACATCGATACATCAAATATCATTAACTTATAATCTGTAAGTAACTTGGACATGAGTGGCAAACCACTATGCATGATGATACTATGTTGGCTTATGAATCGCTGTGGATATATGCAGTGGCGTAGCCAGAAATTTTCTTCAGTGGGGGCAATATTTAATAGCAATAATATATATATATATATATATAATTTTTAGCAAAACAATATATGTAAAAATTAAAACATTGATTCATAATATTTCTATTCAGTACATTCACAACGATTTTTCACATTATTCATTGTTGTTTCAAAATTTAATTCATTGAATTAAATATACTAAAAAAAATTTAAATTCAATGAATCAAAAATAAGATATGAAAAAGAAAATAACTAAGTTACCTAATTGTTCTAATATATCACATATGTAAAAAAATAAAAATAAATAAAAAACCATGATAATCAAATCTAACCTTATAAGTTATAACAAGATAATTCAATCCATCAGAAATTTTGATAGAGTTGAATATGTGAATTCATTGATTTGGGCTGCAAATAAAAAAAAAAAAAAAAAAAAATTCTAACTTTTATTTAGAGAATAATAATTAATAACACAATTACACAAACTAAATTTTGAAAGAACAATAAGTCCTAAAATAATTTTGATAATAATAACGAATAATTTTTCTAATTAAAATTATAATATCAAATAATAATAGTAAAATTTAGATGATAAAAAATATATATCAGATTACCTGTCTGCTGCACTACATTGAGTCTCTGTCTACTGGTAATTCCGCTTACTCTGTTTGAATTGTGGAAAATGTTTGAAGACTGAAGATGTAATGAAAATAATCTATTTGTTTGTGTAAAGTCAAAAGTATGATAGAATATCTTGATAAAATTATTATTATTATTATTATTTGGAAAGTGGAAAAGAATATATTATTTTGGGAAAGTGAAAAAAAATATTATATTATCTGATAGATAACCGTGAATGAGATTTTAGTTATATATATACAGTATATATACGTGCACTGTCAAATATTAGAGGTTTTTGGTTTTATATATATATATATATATATATATACACGTGGATTGTCAAATTTTAGAGGGGACAATTATATAAATATAAAAAAAATTCCATATAAAATTTTAAAAAAATTAAAATTTCAGTGGGGGCAACTACCCCCACTTGTCCCTCTGTGGCTACGCCACTGGATATATGATGTTAATATAATAGTTAAACCTAGAATAAACGAGATCAGAAAATTGGAATTTAAGTGGTTTCTGTCTATACCTTTTGGGTTGTGTGAAATTGTGTTACTTCCAACTCATACCTGTTAAAGACTTATGAGTTCCCTTAAGTTGTAAGTTGTTAAGAACCATCTACTTTAAAAGCCTAATATGGTATCGAAGCGTATGTCATGTGTTCAAACCTCACTGTCACCCTAATTTAAAATTGAAAACACGCGTTGGACCAAAAGAAGGCCACACGTGTGTAGGCACGGACCCACAATAGGAACAGTGGGTATTTTTTATTTTTGCCTTTTATACTTTAAATTTTTGGGAAATTATGAATATTGTCCCACTAAAATTACAATTCTCCCCCATTAGAATTCTTTAGTCCGCCCCCCCCCCCCCTCACAAAATTTTTGGGTCTGTCATTGCACGTGAGGGGGCGTGTTGAAGAATTTAAATATTTAAGTTATATCCTCTCTAATAGCTTAAGCTGTTAAGTAGATGGTGGTCAACTTGGTATCAGAGCCAAAACGTCTCTAGTTCAAACCTCACCGTCACCCTAAAAATTAAAATTGAAAGCACGCGTTGGACCAAAAGAATGCCACACGTGAATGGACATGTTGAAGAATTTAAATATTAAAGTTATACCTCTAACAACTTAATCTTTTAGAGTAGATGGTTGTTAACATGGTATTAGAGCAGGGTAGGTCCTGTGTTCAATCCCCACCATCGCCCTGATTTAAAATTGAAAACATGTCACCTTGATTTAAAATTGAAAACACATGTTGGACTAAAAGGTCACACATGAGGAGAGGTGTGTCAAAGGATTTAAATATTTAACTTACACCCTCTCTAATAGCTTAAGCTTTTAGGGTTCACTTGGGATTTATTTGCCAGTGGAGAGAGAGAAAATAAAGATATAAAAAAAATTTGCACTTTGGACCTTGGAAGGTATAGCAATCAAGGTAGCAGATAAGCACTGCAAAAATGTTAATCTATAATTTATGAAGAAAAAAAACATGTTAATCTATTAGTTATAATGGCTTCGCAGGAAGTTGTCGAATCTGTGAAACAGGACTTTGGCAGCATTGACATCCTTGTGCACTCACTTGCCAATGGACCAGAGGTGAAGTACTCTTCAGTTCTTTTCCTGTTTTTTCGCTTCTTTTTTTGGTGGTGATGGGGGAGGCGGGTGGAGAATACTGTTTCACCAACTTCATTGTCAAACACTTTGCAGGTCAGTAAACCTCTGTTGGAGACATCAAGATACGGATATCTTACCGCTGTGTCTGCATCTAGTTATTCCTTCATTTCTTTACTCAGGCATTTCATTCCAATAATGAATCCAGGCGCGTTTCTCTCACAATCTAATTTTTTATTCTAAATCATTTGGCTATCATTAATTTTAAACAAGAAAATCAGATTGTGACCGGCCAACAATTCTGCTGCCTAGAAGTTTGAGCTTGGGTTCTAATTACAGGTGGTGCTTCAATTTCTCTGACATACATTGCTTCTGAAAGGATCATTCCAGGGTACATCCACCTTTGCTTTCATTATTCAACTGGATCATGATTGCATCTGTAAGCATTATCTAGGAATGGATTTGACTGATAAAACTGTTTTACACGCAGATATGGTGGAGGAATGAGTTCAGCAAAGGCTGCTCTAGAGAGTGACACAAGAGTAAGTTTTTCTTCTCGAATTCTTTTTGATGGAATGAATTTAGTGTTCCTTCAACTTCCATTATATGTGATGGATCGTTGCATTTCTATTGCTGATGAAGGTGCTGGCTTTTGAAGCTGGAAGAAAACACAAAATCAGAGTCAACACAATATCTGCAGGTATTAAGTTTGAACTAATGATTTGACGGTGTTAGTAAGGATATTTATGTTCATGGAATTTTTTCGTGCCAGGATGTTTATTGCAGTCATCAGTGTGACTGACTTTTCTTCCATATTCTAAGAGGAAGATTTTAGTGAGGAAACTAGAACTACTAGAATGATTCTTATATGTGCTGCATATTCCAATAGACAGATCATATGATCATCTTGATTTTACAAAGACCTTTTAGAAAATAATTGAGATTGTCAGGGGCTCGCACTATGAACCACACAGTCCAGAGTAAGAATCTGGACATTGATTGAGAGCTCTAATTCACATCATCTCTGTTTCACGATTCACCTGGCTATCAATCACATTCACATTAGTTCACACTTGAACAGCGAAAGCATTACTTTGCCAAAAGCATAATGCATGTAGTGCTATTATCTCCATGCTTTTCAACCAAATGGTGGAATAAGAATAAGCTCCTCTGTACCTTGATGTGCAGTGCTTTGATTGGTCGTTGGGTTGACCAGACATATGCTAGAGGTGATGAGGTGCACTTGAAACACACTACTGAGCTAACAGTTGGTTATCATCTTGGGTTTGGATTTATTTTTTAATCATTTGGCTTCACTTAATCTAAATGAATAAATAAAATATTTTCATTATTTGTGTTTGGTTTCTATCCTGTACCAAATCCAGTTTGCAGATGGGCTTTCTTGCTTCTTTATGATAATATTTAGCTATTTTATATCAGGTCCACTAAGAAGTCGTGCTGCAAAAGCTATTGGTTTTATTGATATGATGATTGACTACTCACTGGAAAATGCACCCTTGCAGAAAGAACTATCTGCAGGTGATTGTTTGGATTCTTTAACAAACTAATTTCTATTCATTATTTTTTGGTGTAATTGAGCAACTTTTTGTGATATTGTATATATAAGCATAAAGAAATATATTTAAATAAACAAGGATAACTCTATCGATAAAGGTTGTTTGATTGCTGCTGTGGCAGCATAAAGCAGCTCAAAGATAAAGCCATTGAAGCAACTGAAAGCGTCCTGGCAATAACACTGCCTATGAAAATGTTAAACCTAAAATATTTGTCCAACATCCAACTAAATGTCATTTTCATATGTCTTGCCATTCTCTCCACTTCTTATGACTACTAACCTTGAAAAATAAATGGAACAGAGGAGGTGGGGAACATTGCTGCCTTCCTTGCATCGCCATTGGCTTCTGCAATTACCGGTGCTGTTGTGTATGTGGACAATGGTCTGAATGCAATGGGAGTGGGGGTCGACAGCCCAGTATTTTCAGATCTTGACATTCCAAAGAACCACTAGAAAGGTAGTGATACAAGTTTTGTGTCAAATGGCTTCTATTGCAAAAAAAAACAAATGTAGTCTTCACCCCTTTATCATATCATTGACTGTATTGTTGAGAATAGCTGCATCGGCATTCCAATTTGTTGCGACGGCAGTCTGCTTATTCTTGTAAGAATAATATGGATAATTTGCCTTTATGTGTGTCTAATAATAGTGTTTGTTATCTATTTCCTTTCCATATCCATAGTAATAACATCATAACAGTTGGTGATATGTGGAGGTTTTGCAACTGGCAATATTTTCATGTATAATTGTTGTTCTGAATGCAACCGTAATAGTGTATACTACATTTAACACATCTATTAACATTGGTTTATTACTATATACAAATTCTTAAATTGACTGGAAAGTAATTCAGAGAAGCTAATTTAATTTTTTTACTTGGGGGCCTAGAATTACAGATGATCACTGTTGTGCGGTAAATTGTGGTCCTCGTAGCCATTATTTAATTGCAATTTTCTTGTGTAATTTTGATGTGTTCAATGCTGCTAATTTTGAAGCCAGTGAAAATTACTAAACCAGTGCTAACAAATCTATTTTTAATGTCAAGATTGGAGAATAAATGCTATTTGATATCTGAGAACATTGTAGGAAAAAATTGTTACCCATATATTGACATGAAGATATATCTTACTTTCTCTTGAGATTAAATCATTAGATTGGATAATAAAGTAATCTATCCACAATTGATATCGTCAAAAAGATGCAAGAATGTTAATAGATAGCATATCTTTTTCTTCTTCCAGTAGTGCCCAAAGGTTCAGAAGCACTGTACTGTTCTATACCTTGGGGGTTGGAGGATACTAGTATTATCTGAAAGGGCCTTGTGAGTTGTGGCCAGTGTTAGTCCTTCCAAAATGGATGGTGAAAGTGGATGGAAAGTAAGCGTGCGTGCGCGCACATGCTATAATTCTAGTAGTCTTAAAGACTATTGATAGCCTTTATATATATATATATATATGTACACTATATGTAGTGTACATATATATAGTGTACATATATATATATATATATAAAGGCTATCAATAGTCTTTAAGACTACTAGAATTATAAAATTCACTTTAGAAAAGGACTATTTAATAGTCATACAATAGAGACGAGCGGATTATTTCGAAGTGTACATATATATATATAAAGGCTATCAATAGTCTTTAAGACTACTAGAATTATAAAATTCACTTTAGAGAAGGACTATTTAATAGTCATACAATAGAGACGAGCAGATTCTTTGGAGCACCATATATAAACAAGAGAATATTTTTTTGGTAGAAAAAAGTCAGGTAAAACATACACAAATATCAGCAAGAATTGAACATAGAACGTTTGTCACTTTCCCGATCATATAGAAGGGAAAACAGAACTAATTAGAACCAAGTGGAATTTGCAAAAATATATACTTGAGACCAAAAGACCTAATGTACTACTCATACGGTCATACCTCCACTTCAACTACATATTTGTGACCAAAAGACCTAATATACTATTCATACCTCCACTGAAACTACATACTCGAGACCAAAAGCTAATATACTATTCACATCAGTGCGACATATGGCTATAGTAATCCCATTTCATCTGAAAGCTTCCGCTTTCCGTTCTGAATGGCAGCAACACTTGCTGCAGAATCATAACCTTCAGGAGAGTCTTCTGTGATCATCTGTTCTTGCAAAACGAGGGCACGGTTCCTGGATAATTTCCTGATGTAAACTGCAGGACATGCTTCTTGAGTTTCATCAGGTGTCGAATACGAATCACTTAATGTTTTCACTTGATTTCTTTGAGGTATCAGCTCATCATGTGTTGAATACGAATCACTTGATATTTTCACTTGATTTCTTTGAGGCATCAGCTCCTCTCCCACAGCAACAGATGCAGTCATCAACTATGAAGTCCATCAGTAACAAATTTTAAAAATGATTCAATCTAATCTATAAATGCAGTAAGACAAGGAATACATACACACGAAGTTTACTCGATTATTCACAAGATTTTTTTTTGGTAAATAAGATTTTATTGAACAAAGATTACACAAACAAGGCCAAGCTAGCCAAACAACCACCTATCAACCAAATAAGAACTAACAAGCAAAGCAACATCTAAAAGAAAGTAAAGGTCGTGATATTGAAATCATTATCAAGGATTTTGAAAAAAGAAAGAAAAGAAAAAATTTATTGGAAAGAAATGATAGTAAAAACACTAAGTAATCAAGTTTTTTCTCCAATACCTTCCAATCCTTGAAGTCAAATCTGAAGATGAAGTGACTGTAAGCAACCTCCCCAGAGACAACTGCATTAGCAGAAGGTGCATTCCTTGGTGCTGATAAACAAATAATAAAGTAAACAAGTTCAAATAGAGATGGACAAGGGAGACAATATGAAATTAAAACATCAATTGTTTGCAAAGGATCTTACAAACTAGATGACAGCCTTTCTCATCCATTGTTATTTCAGCCCTCCCATCTTTGACCAAAAAAGAGAGAGCAAATAAATTTTCCACTGTTTCTGCAAAAGAGATTCTGTTCAAAATTATAATTTCAAGCTTGACCCTTCTGTTCTTCTTTAAAATATCGAACATGGTTGCCATGTTCTTATCAGTTTCACTTCTTCCTTCTGTACCAGAATGATCAAGCTGCGCAATGTATGAAGGACGTCCACGTAATGCATAAAATTACCAAAAATATCATCAAAAGAAAAAGTAAGCATTGATAAAAAATCCATTTCTATATTTCACATGTCAGGTATTTGATGAATTAACATTATAGCACTGAATTAGTTAGTTAGAGCTTAAATTGAATTTTCCTTCCAAGATGTTGGTTCGGTGCTCCCAAACTCATCATATGAGAAGTTTTTTGGTCTTTAAAGTGCAACAAAATCATTTATTGAGAAAATTAATTTTCCACACAATTTCAAATCCACCTTCCATAACAATTCAAAGAACAAAACTCAAATCCATTTTCAGACATGTAGGTTATTGTAAAACCATTAATTTACCTCTTCAGGTCGAGAACTCTGTGTTGGTCTCTCAAGTTTTCGACGAGAAGCAGTCCTCTTCCTTCTCTTGATTTCTGTATTCATAGGCCCAACCCTGCACAAAGAGAGAGCGGTAGACAATAAACTTCAAACCCTATAGTAAAGGGGGAAAAAAAAAAAAAAAAAAAAAAAACCCCAAACAGCGACAATAACTTAAACTCACATTGTGCAACATCCATTGACCCTCTTGAAAATGTGAGAGACTGCAAGACCAATATCCTTCCATTGTACAGAGTCCCTACCATACTCCGCACCACGACTTGCTCCACCTTGTTGCCCATAGGCCCCAAGCAGACCAGTAATGAAATCTGCAGGGGTAAGTCCTTCATTACCATGAGCCTTCACAGAGATAACAACCGAGCTTAAAATGTCCATCAGAGCCTCAGCATCTGCAACTTGTTCCCTCGGTTTGCTTACTGAAAACCAAATCAAGAAACAAAAATATAACTTTCAGAGACTCCTAAATTGGGAGTATTCAAAGGCTCTTGAACCTTTGTAACATACCATATACAAAAACAAATACAGGTGTATACGTTCACGCAAATATCTACATTTATTCAAGCCATCAATGTAATTAATATGATTAATAAAAGATAAAATATTCTTTAATACCCATCTGATGCAAGCTTTCCACTTCATTGAAGATCGATTTAAACTTATCATAATCTGGCCTTGATATACAGTCTCTTTCATCTGCAACAACCAATAATTGTTAATATAAATAAATTAAAATACCATATCCAAATCCTAATTTCATCACTATATGAACATACAAAACCTATATATCATTTAGGAAAAAAAAAAACCTATACATCTATACAGAGATGTACACATTATATGACTGAGTAAACATAAGAAATAAATTCAATAATATATAAGGAATTAGTAATTACCGCTAATGAAATTCTTCACAGCAAGATATCGAGATCGAAGACCTCTGCGCACGGTCACAGTTTCGCCTCGCGAATCGCTCACGCCTGCTTCACCATTCTCCTCTGTGCTTGTTTTTACACCACCACTACTATTACTTTGCTCGATTCTAGTCATATTTCCTTTTTTGGGTGTTCCAAGAACTTGGTAGAAAAAAAAAAAAAAAAAAAAAAAAAAAAAAAAAAAAAAAAAAAACAAGAAATGTGCAGATGATAAACCCTGGAATTCAATCAGTGATTATCCTGGAGATAGAAAAAGAAGAGAGACGTTTGAAATTTGAGAATGAAGCTCTAAAATTTTACTCCTGCTAAGGAACGGTAAATTGCCGCCAAAAAGCCATAAAATTCAAGCGCGTTACTGCCGCTACTTTGTTTCCCGCTTTTTTTTGGGTAGGTTTCCCACAAATTTACTCGAGGCTTCACATAAGCGAAAATTACTAGTGTCTCTCGGCGGCAGTTTGAGATTAAATGCTAATTCAATTAGTGCTATTAGGAGCACTTAATCCATTATTTGAATTTGCAATTAAGAAAAAAATTATTTTAAACTTTGAATTAAATTTTCTCTTATTCTAAATTTAAGTGTAGCTTAAAATAAAATAATTTTTTTATTCATACTGATATCATTTCTCACCAAATGATACACTTTAATTTTTTTAAAATAAATAAATATATATATATATATATCAATTTTTTAAACACGATAGCTTCTTAGAAAGTTAAAAAAATAACTTTTTAATTCAAATATCCTATTGAGGAATATTGTTTACAAAAGGGGATCTCAACCCAATCAAGTATGAAGCGCTTCCTTTAATGCTTCATTGGTAATGAATGAATGGAAAGGTATGAATGATCGATTATACACTTAGGCATTGCATGTCTCTCCATTTTTTTTTTTTGTTTTGGTTGGTTGAGTAGAGACAAATAAAATGAGGTGATATTTTCTATTATTAGCGAGATAGGAAGAGAGAGAGAGATGAGGCCAACTGTAAGGCTGTTCAATTGTGATTTTGGCATTATGCAAGAAGAGGTAAGAAGTATACGTTATTTAGATATTATAATTATAACATTTTACAATTAGAAGTAAGATGCATATATCTGATTCTATTCAGACATCGTAATAACGAAAAAGATGTTTTATAGATATATTTTTTACCGATTCAATACTTGTTATTTTCTTTCTTACTCTTTTTCACAGAGATGAAAATAATGGATAAGAGGGATGCCTAATTCATCCGCCATTCTCTTCCCTCTAGCTTTGTCCATCTCTCCTCTACGCTTTCCCTCCCTCTTTATTTCCTCCAAGCAATTGGAGTGTTAATTATGCAAATATTGAACAAAAGATAAGAAAGCCCCTTAGGTGACTCTTCATTTATATTTTTATCACACTCATAATCGAAATTAGTTTTTGGTGACAAAGAACTAACTTGCTCACTAATCATCACTTTTGGACTATCACCTCAACAAAAACTGTAACTGTAACAACTCACTCCACCACATGGTATGATATTGTCCGCTTTAGACTTGCCCGCGCGATTTTACTCTTGAGCTTCACTCCAAAAGGTCTCATGCCAATTGGAGGTGACACACTTACATATAAGCACTTCACATTTCCTCTACCCAGGCGATGTGGGACTGTGCACCCGTAGCTCGCCAGTGTGGTAACCTGATTGTGTCTTTTGTACCCGCCCACAGCACACCCGCCCACAAGGTCATCACAATCCACCCCCTTTGGAGGCCCGACGTCCCCGTCGGCACACTTCCGGTTGGGTTAGGCTCTGATACCACTTGTAACGACCTACTTCACCACATGGTATGATATTGTCCGCTTTGGGCCTGAGCCCGCACGGTTTTGCTCTTGGGTTTCACCCCAAAAGGCCTCATACCAATTGGAGGTGACTTGTGATGACCTTGTGGGCAGGTGCACGAGACACTATCAGGCTACCACACTGGCGAGTTACGGGTGCACAAGTCCCACATCGCCTAGGTAAAGGAAAGGTGAAGTGCTTATATGTAAGTGCATCATCTCCAATTGGTATGAGGCCTTTTGAGGTAAAGCTCAAGAGTAAAACCGTGCGGGCTCAGGCCCAAAGCAGACAATATCATATCATGTGGTGGAGTGGGTCGTTACAAATGGTATCAGAGCCTGACCCAGCCGGAAGTGTGCCGACAGGGACGTCGGGCCTCCAAGGGGGGTGGATTTTGATGACCTTGTGGACGGGTGTGCGGTGGGCGGGTGCGAGAGACACTGTCAGGCTACTACACTGGCGAGCTATGGGTGCACAGTCTCACATTGTAACGACCCTCACCCTGGCCAGACACAATATTGTAACTATTCCAAGTTAAGCACGCTTAACTACAGAGTTCTGATGGGTGACCCCCTGGGAAGTCTTTGGTCTGGGTGAGCCAAAAGCGGACAAATTTGTGTCTGCCCAGGGTGAGGGTCGTTACAAATGGTATCAGAGCCTGACCCAGCCGGAAGTGTGGTCAACGAGGACGTTGGGCCCCAAAGGGGGGGTGATTGTGGCGACCTTGTGAGCGGGTGTGTGTGAGCGTGTGCAGGAGGCACCAGTAGGCTACCACACTGGGCGAGCTACAGGTGCACACTCCCACATCGTCTGGGTGTGGATGGTGCAAGTGCTATATGTAGATTCAACACCCTTCTATGACACAACGCGTTTTAAAGCCGTAATGGCCGTGAACCCATCAGAACTCTGTAGTTAAGCGTGCTTAACTTGGAGTAATACCAGGATGGGTGACCCCCTGGGAAGTCTCTGGTCTGGGTGAGCAAAAAACGGACAATATTGTGTCTCACCAGGGTGAGGGTCGTTACACACATCGCCTGGGTAGAGGAAAGGTGAAGTGCTTATATGTAAGTGTGTCACCTCCAATTGGTATGAGGCCTTTTGGGGTGAAGCCCAAGAGCAAAACTGTGCGGGCTCAGGCCCAAAGCGAAAAATATCATACCATGTGGTGGAGTGGGTCGTTACAAATGGTATCAGAGTCTGACCCAGCCGGAAGTGTGCCGACGGGGACATCGGGCCTCCAAGAGGGGTGAATTGTGATGACCTTGTGGGCGGGTGCAAGAGACACTGTCAGGCAACCACACTGGTGAGTTACGGGTGCACAAGTTTCACATCGTCTAGGTAGAGGAAAGGTGAAGTGCTTATATATAAGTGCATCATCTCCAATTGGTATGAGGCCTTTTGGGGTAAAGCTCAAGAGCAAAACCGCGCGGGCTCAGGCCCAAAGCGGACAATATCATACCATGTGGTGGAGGGGGTCATTACAAATGGTATTAGAGCCTGACCCAGCCGGAAATGTACCGACAGGGACGTCGGGCCTCCAAGGGGGGTGGATTGTGATAACCTTGTGGGCGAGTATGCTGTGGGCGGGTGCGAGAGACACTGTCAGGCTACCACACTGGCGAGTTATGGGTGCACAGTCCCACATCGCCTGGGTAAAGGAAAGGTGAGTGCTTATATGTAAGTATGTCACCTCCAATTGGTATAAGGCCTTTTGGAGTGAATCACAAGAGCAAAACCGTGCGGGTTCAGGCTCAAAGCGAATAATATCATACCATGTGGTGGAGTGGGTCGTTACAGAGTTATAGACATTTATACTTTTAGGTGACAAAGAACTAACTTTTGGACTATATATATTTAGAAAGACACAATCGTCCATATTTTTCATTTCTCCATACAGAATGCGTACTCCCTTTATTTTTTTTAGCATTTCTTTTGAAACAGTAATGGATATTTACTTTTATTTTAAAAAATATATCAATAAAAATTAGGATTAAAATCATAAAACCTCACTATTTTTAAATTTTGAACATAAAATCTCAATTGATTTCAAAAAATTCCTACACTTTTAAAACCTTGATATCCGCATCCGACCCGTTAATCGGGTTATGAAATGACAAATTTAACCTTACTATTTAATGCTAAATTAAAATTTAAAAATTATTTTTAAAATTACAAAAATACTCTTTAAATTTATAAAAATAATGTTTTAGAGAGAAAGGGAGGGGTGAGAGTTTGAGAGAAATAGTTGGTGAATAAGAAGATTAAAAGGTATTTTTGTAATTTAAAAATAATATTTTTTAGTTTTTAATTTAATATTATTAAATAGTAAGGTTAAATTTGTTATTTCATATTTCGGTTAACCGGACATGAATATTGAGGTAATGTGATTACTTTTTAAAAATGTAAAATTTAGTTGGAATTTTATGATCAAAATTTAAAAGTAATGAAAGTTTTATAATTTTAACCCTAAAAAAACATCTTAAATCAATGGAGTCATCAGCCTCTCCTTCTTGAAAGGGAGGTGAAGGATAGGTCTACTTGTTAGATGTAAATGTTAAAAAGAAACAATTATAAAATGTGTGTGACTGTTAAATATTTGGTCAAGCTCGAGTTCTCTTGAATGTAAATATATGCTTTTAAGGGGGAAAAGAAAATCTCAAATCTTAAATAGAAAAAGTTACGTACTTATTCCACAATTTTTACTTATTTACCAAAAAAAAAAAAAAAAAAAAAATCTAAGTTAGCTTTGCGTGGGAATGTGATTGATATATGGTTCTTTATTGCACCAGCGTTTGCTAAAAAGCCCACATTTTACACTTCTCTGAGTTCTCTCTCTAAAATTCCTTTCTACTATCAACAACCTACTCCTGCACTATCTTAATGGCGAGAGAGTCCTGCACAATTGAGACCAGTGAGGGCATCAAGCTCGACGCTCGGATCTTCAAGCCATCCCAAGAGATCACAGACACCAATTTGGTGGCTGTGCTTGTACACCCCTACTCCGTACTGGGTGGTTGCCAAGGCCTCATGAAAGGAATTGCTCGTGGACTGGCCAATGGAGGTTTCCCAGCTGTCACTTTCGACATGAGAGGCGTTGGTAGATCCACCGGTAGGGCTTCGCTCACTGGCTTCTCTGAAGTCCGTGACGTTGTTGCTGTCTGCAAATGGGTGTCTCAGAACTTGTCTGTAAATCGGATTCTGTTGGTGGGTTCTTCTGCAGGTATGACTTTCTTGTTTGTTTTTTTTGAGTTACTTTGGAACTATCGTGGTGTTGTTTTAGCTTGTTTAATTGATTATTTATTAATGATCCTTTAAGCATACTTGTATCTATATCTCTATTATGTAAATGGGTCTTTACATTTATGCAAATAGCATTTTGTTGGTAGGTTTGAACGTTTTCTTTTGATTGTAATTTTGGAGTAGATGGGTTCTTCTGCAAGTATGCTTCTGTTTTTTTTTGGGTAAATTTGGAGTTATGTTTGATTGATTTATTAATGCTCCTTTATATTTTCCTTTATTGGCGGGTTTTAAAACTTTTTATGGGTTGTTGGGGTAATTTTTTAAATTGTGGTTGTATAGATTTTTTTTGGTTAGAATTTGATCGATGATCCTTGATTTATGGTCAATTGAAGCTTGTGAGATTCCTTTCAGCTTAACAAACCCTAAGCTGTAAGTTGCCACCAGTCTTATGCTACCATAAAGAGTGATTAGTTTTGTCTACAACTTTTAACTGCTGTCCTGCATCAGATGATTTATGGCAGAAGGGGTATCGGTGCTGCTTGCCTGGGTTGTTATTAGGGAACCATTCACAGGATCAGATGGATCCACAGTAGCATTTTATGATAGTTATGGGGAGTAATATAATGGGTTTTATGGTGATGATTAATATAACCGTGCATGAAAAATTGTGAGAATTTACTTCCATACACTTGATTCCAGGGAAGGGAGGAGCAGTTGCCTTTGTTGACCTTTGCCCTCTTAGTTGAGTGTGTAACTTCTACATGATTCCACCTGAAGTGTTGGACTTGTTAGTTGAGAATCGCTTTGCCAAAAGAGAGCTCTTGGATGGGTTTTTATTTTGCCACTGAATGTACTAATTCCAGGAGTATTTCCAATGTGGAAGGTATTTAAGTTTGGTCTGAACCCAGAAATAGATTCCTGCTTCAAGCATTGGATATCTTGTCTCAATTAAGAAGGGTCATGGAAAGAATCACAGTGAGTTCCTTTTGGAGAGTACATATGAACTATATTCAGAGTGGGAAGAATGATGAGTTTCTTTATACTTGGTAACTTGTGGTATATGCTTGTAGATAGTGTTTGGGCTTTGAGAGTTGGGTCTCTTGCTGCTGACATTATGAGTTTAATGGGAAAATGGTCGTGTGGACAGCAAAAAGGCCAAATAACAGGGAGTAATTTTGGAGGTTGATAATAGTGGCAAACTACAGTCTTGTCAGGTTGTTCATCACGCTATGTGGTTGGTTTGTTTAGTTGTGATGTTGAGGAGCTCCTGCTTTTAAAAAGGTTAGTAATTGCCGTTGGAGATTTGGTAAAATCCTAGTAGAAACCTTGTCAAATTTCCCTTTTATCTGTAACCATCTTTTTTTGGTAACCATCTTTTATTTTTTAACCATCTCATCCTAATTTACATGTAATGAAGTGCATACATTAAGAGTTTCAACCAACGTATGGTGACTAGGTATAATAAATAATAATAAATGGGATATATCATAAGTAGACCAACCAAGGAGATTAATGGTGAAGGTAGGAATGTTTGTGCCAATGACAGAGTGAATGGGCTCTAGTTATAGTAATTCTTGATTGCTTCAGAGCCCTGCCTTCAATCTCATGGGGGACCTCTATTTGTAGCCCCAAATTCCTTGGAGAATACCCAATGGTTCGACCTTTAATTGAGGTATTTTCTAATCCCAGGGCTTTTAAATCATGATCCCTCAGATGGCCTTGTTTCGGCTAGAAGGGTCATATCTCCCTTTTGTCCTGTTGCATATCGACAGCGGCGCATTAAATAGTTGTTATTTCATTAATTGTGCTTAGCTGTTTGGCAGCGGCAGCGGTGGCTGAGCATTAATGGCTTAGGTATAGCATTAATTGTGATTGTAAGGGTCTCTGCCATGGCACGTTTTCACTATCCCTTTGGTCCGGCTTGGCATTCGAGGGTCTTGGGCATTATCTCTGTCTTCTCATCCACCCTTCCAATATATCTCTAAGCGTCCAATTTGCAGCTTCTGATGTGTGAGGAGCCTTACCTTGAGCCTTACCTGTATTCTCCGCGTACATTCAACTGTATTTTGTTGTCTTTTGCTTAGTTTGTTCTTCGAGGTTTGGTTGACCTGAGGGGTCATTAGAATTTTCGTGACTAAAGGATTGCTCCTTGAGGTTTGATTGACCTGAGACAATCTCTGTTTGGTGCTCTGTGTGACTTTTCTTTGTTTTGCTGACCTACCATTCTCATTTTTTTGATACCTCTTTGTTTTTCTGACCTGGCGTTCCCCTTGTTTTGACTTTCCTTTCGTTTGAGTTATGTCTGCGTAGGCAGTGCGTATCCGCTACTACTGTTATTTTAAATAACAGTAGGAATTTCCCGAAAATCTAACCAATTAGAAAAAGTACTAAGATAGAATGTGAAACATCTCATATTAAATTTATTAGGTCAACAATTCATTAAGTGTGTCAGCTTCTCAAAAAGGGACTCCTAGAAGTATCTATAAAAAATTAAAAAGCGGGGGTCTTCTAGAAGTGTCATCCATTTCATGTCTCCTGTCGGTTTTTGTACAATTTTCATTAGACAATCTTCTACCTAGAGTAGATTCATGGAGCTTTGTTCAGCACATTTACTTTTGGTATAGAGAATTAAGGTGTTTATTATTATTATTATTATTATTGTTTTTTTCAATCTAGGAAAATTTACACTAGTGTATTTTGTGAATATCCCATATTCCAGTTTTTTAGCTGTATTTAGTAAGTTTAACTAGTTGTATTGTCAAACAGTTTCCAAGGTACAAAGTTGTGATTTTGATTGTGACTTGAGGTTCACTTTAAGAGGCATGTTTTGCATTAGAAATTAGATCACAGATATTCTCTTCACAGCATCACACTGTAGCTACTTCTGGAAAGAATATTGTTATATTTTTGTTGTTGTTAGGTGATTATTGGATTACGGTGATGGGTGAAAATAATTGTAATTCAGATACCAAGAGACAACATGGCATCATATCTTTTATTTTTATTCCCCCTAGGGGGTAAAAAAAAAGAAAAAGAAATAAAAGAGAAAAAATTAAAAATTTAGACGACTTTGCTGTTTGTTATGCACAAATCTGAAATGTGGAGGTCATTCTTGGGATGTATACACAAACTAACCTGGTTATTTTCATTGCTCATAGTGAATGGAATTCTTGGTCTCTTTTGAATCTCCTTTTGCAGTTTCTTTGGTGAGAAAACTTATTAAGGTTGGAAATGAGATCATCCTTGCCTGATTCCGTGGCACTTGAAATGTTGCAACTTTACCATTATTTTTTAGCAATTTTAAATAGAGTTTACTTTATATGACGATGATAAACTTAAAATGTTTAACTAAGGTGTCCAGAATTTGCATTTAGCCCATGATCCAAAATACTCCCTAAATGCAACCAACCTTACATTTGACAAGGGTGACCAAGATTTAAATTGAAACTCTTCGTTAACCAAAAACCCACAATGGATATTGTTTTACTTGATATCTTTCTTTTTTCTTTCTATGGGCACAGGTGCACCTATTGCTGGCTCTGCGGTTGATCAGATAGAGGAAGTTGTTGCTTATGTGAGTCTGGGCTACCCTTTTGGATTAACTGCTTCGATTCTCTTTGGGAGACACCATAAAGCTATTATACAATCTCCAAAACCGAAACTCTTTGTTATGGGAACAAGGGATGGGTTCACAAGCGTTAAACAGTTGGAGAACAAGTTAAAGTCTGCGGCAGGTCGTACTCAATCCCATCTAATTGAAGGAGTTAGCCACTTCCAAATGGAGGGACCTACTTATGATGCTCAGATGGTGGATGTTATTATTAGATTCGTTGAATCCTTGTGAATTCTGGCAACCTGAATGGGCAATGCATGCTTCAAATTTGGTTCTTGGAACAAGTGATTGCCATATGAAGCCAAGGTACTGAATCTTGTTGTAACTATAATGTCTTTGATTAGTGTTATGTTGCAGAACCTGGAAAAGAAGATGAGGGCTATTGACCATTTCATTTGGACATGCTGCAAAGGGCAAACACAGAGCAAAAAAGGTGTAAATTTGTCATGAATATGCTTCCATGAATCCAATTCTCTTCTGATCTGGTAATTTCATTTATTGTTGCTTTGTTTATGTTGTGTGTTGATCACTTGATTTCAATCTACTAAAATCATCCGAAACTAGATTTTTACTACAATAAATATAAATGGAAGCAACAGGAATGTAAGAACCAACATGATAATAGCGATTTGGCAAGAAAATTTTACATTGGTATAAGTTAAACGCATGAGCCTATTTATTTATTTATTTTAACCTAAACAGTGATCAACTGTTAGATTTCCGGAAGAGTTGAAGAGATTTAATTTTACTGCAAATCTTTTTGAATATTTTGTGGACAAACTGTCATAGCATTTTGGTTATTACCTCGAGCGTTTCCTTATGGTTCTTTAAAAGGCTTGAAGCCTCAAACTCAACTATATGCTTTTACTACCAACATGTCTTATCGGTTAAATTAATTGGCATCTTCATTATTCAAGTTGATACTAGATAGTTTATTGTGTTAATTATATAACCGTAACATACCGAGTGTCTAGGTACTTTAGTGTGTCACAGGTCTCACAAAAGGTGTCTTAGGCTTGTGCATTTAGATTTTGCTGTTTGTGAAATCAAAGCCAAATCCGTATCATGTTTATTACTGTTTTCAGGCCTCTGACATGCTGCGGAACTTCAACTCTCTTTTGAAAGATTTGAAAAACTTCTTGTATTTGAAGCGTATACTCAATAGAATGAAACAATATGTGGAGGGTGAGACAAGTTTAATTTTTGAAATATTTTATTAATTTTTTAGAATTGATAAATTTTTTTCATTTAATTTCACTTCAACCAATGGATTAAATTCATAAGCTACAAAAACTATTATACTTAACTTTATATGTATTTAAATATTTTTTATTTTTTATGCCAATTTTTTTAACGGTTTTTGAAACAAGAAAAACGAATTTTCATACGTTTACAGGCACATTTTTTTTTAACCGTATTTTACCATGGCATATTTAATGGAAAACTTTTTTACAGGCACATAGTGACCAAGGTTTGGCATGTATTGCTAGTAGTGCGTAAAACAACTAGGACAATTACCAGAAATGTTCAACACCACTTAAATTTAATCGCTACTTCCACAATCTCCCATAGTTCAATTTGGGGAAGCCCACTGATTGTTGAATTCCATCTAAATATTCAACCTAGGGAAAAAGCAAAAAGATCCTTAATAAAATTTATATAAATAATAAAACTATTTTAATCTTGAAAATTTTATGAGATGAGCCAGCTAATAGTTATGGGTTAAAAGATTCAAACGTATCATCTTAAATGTCGGGTTGTCTATTCTACTAAAAAGGGTCCAAAACAGAGTTGTGCTCGATCATTATTTATGTAATGGTATATAGTTTAAATAAAAGAAGTTATTTTATTTATTATTATTATTTTTTTTTTTACAAAGATGTTTAATGGTGGGTATTGAAAACTCTTGCAAGTTGTTGAATTTCACGTTACATAATCAACCCAATCTATCAATCTCGGGAAAACAAGAGAATCTTTATAAAAATAGCCATCAAAGCATGCATATGCAAATGAATCAATGGAGTCACAAATTTTCAAACCCTAGTCTAGTGGTAGTGGAGGTAAGATATTGTCCACATGCTGCTACTTTGATATCATAGGCAGACCCCTTGTAGCTAAATCAGCTAACCAATACCACAAATTCACACTAAAGTAGGTAGTGATACAAGTGTGCTAAGTTTGGAGATATTCAAGAAAAATTATGAGGTGGTTCGGGTGATTACATAATTAAAAAAAAAAAAATTTGAATAAAGTTAATATATTTAGTTGTGTGATAGCTTGTCTAAAGATTGCATAGTCCAGAGAGAGTAGAATTGAGTAGGAAAGTAGTCATTTTTTACAAAATAAAAAAAAAATAAAAAATGGCAAAAGTTAAAAGGTTGTTTTTCATCCTATTTATTTTCAGGATATCATCATCATCCTGTCGTTGGTCGGAGGAAGACTAGATAACCACGTTTAATGGTGGGTATCACTATGAAAACTCTTACAAGTTGTTGAATTTTACGTTACATAATCAACCCAATATATCGGTTCGGGTGATCATATAATTAAAAAAAAATAATTAAATAAAATTGACATATTTAATGACAGTTTGTCCAAGATTACAAAATCTCAAATCATCTAATGATTTCTCTAATATTCAAAGCTCTTCTCTTCGCTTCGTACAAGGTACGAGAAAGTAGTCACTTTCTGCAAAAATAAATAAATAAATAAATAATTTAGTATAGTTTAGAGGAGTGAACTAGGGTTAAGAAAGCTGTGAAGACCAAACAAATATGGTGATTGATTAGGATTCATTCACGTGCCTGTCCACATGAATTTCATAGTTTAATCCCTGTTTGAGGACGCAACATATAAAGTCAGAAAACAGTAATAGTCAATTCAGCATCACATGATCTGCGGCTTCCAAGTTCCAACCTGTTGAACAACATGAATAACAACAAAAAACATCCTATTATTTCTTTCGTTAACCATATATGAAAAATTTATCACTGTTCTTTTGTTTTTAGTCTATAAGATTTCATCCACAATCATCTTTATTTATTTATTTAACTATTCACAGAGAACCATGCATTAACTTGAATTAGTAGTCTTAGAAAACAGTTTCAGAAATGATATCTTCTTAGAAAATGGTTTATGTTTGAAGCGGAGGAAGTGAGCGTATGAATTTGTTTTACCTATTCCAAACAAAAAAAAGAAAAAAAAAGAAAAAAGAAAAAAAGTACAATAAATATATTTGCTACTTCTTTCTTTTTAATTTAAATGACTTAAAATTAACTTGGCAAACAAGTTTGAGGATTATTATTATTATTATTTTCAATCCAACCATTGAATGTATAATCATTGTGCTTATCATGACATAAATTTCAATTCAATTGGGTATCCTTAATAGTTTTATTAGTGAATTCATAAATAAACCTCTAATTTAGAACGTGATGTTGACAGCTTTCTAAATCCCTGATTAATTTTTCTGAATTGTACCTATGATTTCCATTGATTTAATTTTGGCTCCCATGACCAATATAAAAAAAGAAATTAGATCAAACAGTTGGATTCTCGCAATATGAATCCTAAAATAAATAAATAAATAAAAATTATTAACAAGTGAAAGATTCACTTAAATATTTTACACTGCATTTAAATTGATTATATATGTGTGTGTATATATTTATAGCATAGACATTAGAGACACATACACATTTACATATTTTATGATGAGATTATGACAAACCAGTGTAGTGACTAGACTAGTGAGGAAGCTATGCATGCTGCCCATATAACCCATTCCCACTCTTCCATCATTTGGAGCATCTCCTCTATGTATTCCATTTTCTCATTTTCCAAACAACAATTCATGATCTGATGAAGATCAGTTGGAAAATTTTGGCTGCTCTATTTGCCAGCTTGATTCTACTTCATATCCTCGTGTGTTCTTCGCTATATTTCCACCATGAAACAAGTCTTCCCGGACAGATCAAGAACCAGTCAAGGAAACTGCTGTTTTCCATATCTGCAAATCTACACGATTTGAGTGCAGCCATGAAAGAGCCCAAGAAAGCTGTGGAGCAAAGCCTGAAGAAGGCACCGCCCAGCACTTCAAATCCTATCCAGAACAAATAGTCTCAATCGCATAACCTCCAACTCCAAGGCTGTCAACAAGGAAACAAGTATTTCTTTAGTGTTAAATTTTCTGTATTAATCTGTTTTTTTTTTTTTTGAAATAATTAAGAATCAATTTATCTCTAGAACTTAGTTTGTTTATTTTATTTTCTTTTCCCTTTTTGGTAATAAATGTAGTACATGATCCAAGATAGATTGTGTGGGAACTGTACAGGTTAAGTAGAATTTGGCAATTAGTTCTCTTAATTATGGTTAAGAAAGTTGATTGGATTAATTCTATCATCCACGTTAACCTGATCAATGTTGCAGAAATTTCAAGTACATGGTTTATGAAATGACTTTTTTTTCCTTTCATATATATATATATATAAAATACACATATCAACCAAAGAGAAAGCCCAAATGTTTTTCTCCCTGCTCCCTTCTATATGGGAGTGGGGACGTGCCGTTTTGCCTCCCACATATTCCTTCATCTTGTTTTTTCTCTCCTCGTCGTTGTCGAGGTTCGCTGTGAGTAGCGTTTCTCACGTTTCATTGTGAATTTGTGTTGCATGATCTCCTGATCTGCGTTGTAACCGAGGGTGGATGGTTTCTGGATCGCCGAAGATGGGTTTGTTTGACTAATCCTTTATGGAGCTTTTTGGAGTTTTTGCGATGAGGTGGATCTGATGCATTTGCGCACTTTGCCGGCGTCCGCCGTATCTGGTGCTTGCATTGGTGTGTTCGGTCCTTTTTGGGTCGTCTCCGGCGGTTGTTCTGTGGCTTTTTCGGTGGATTCACCAACGATGTCATGGCTGACGTTTGGATATGATAGTTTCGAGGTTCTATTTTCATTACTGGTGGGCTCGGTTCCTGGCTATTCTGACACCTTTAGATTTCGAGTGTTGTCAAGGCTGTGATTTTGACATATGTGGGTGTTAGTTTTGCTTTGGATTGTTATTTGTGTATGTATTTATTTGTGTATGGTTTTCTGTTCTTGCCTTGTAGATGCCGTATGGCATGGCGGTTCACTTGCCAAGATATAAAAAAAAAAAAAAAGAAAAAAAAGAGAGAGAATTATGTTTCTTCTAATTTGAGCACACTCTCCTAAACTCAGTAGTACTAGACCATTTGGATTTCTTCAATAATTGGTTGTGTGTAATGGATCTCATAACTTTATGATCTATGGAGAGAGAAACATCATATTGTCTCAATAGTTTATATAAAAAAAAGGCCCATTTTATATTGAAAAAACTTTTACTAGAAAGTTTGTTCAAGTGTCAATCGAGTTTTCCTGAAAAAACTCACTGACCAACTTAAATCGGTTCAACCACCCTGAATCAACTCAAGTGTCAAAAATTATTTTCTTCGACAATTCACTAGCCAACTTGAACTAGTTTAACCGCTATGTACCG